TATAATCCTTCCATTCCCCACCATCCAGTCAGAGCTGAAGAAGCTTCTTGGATGAGAAGGCAAATGTCTTCAAAGAAAAACAAGAAAGTCCAGTTGCCTCCTGAAAAAACACCTTTGGTACATGCTCTTATATTTAAGATAAGTAAGAAGTAAGTACTGGGGTGTTCAAGGAACTCTAGCATTTAAGATGGACATAATGGTGGAAAACTGGGGATGGCAGCAGACAATAGTGAGGAGCCTTTTTAGATATCAAGAGCTACCTGAATGTTGTTGTAGAACAAATTCTTTTCTATACTTAAGCACGAGGATAAAGTATAACTCTGAATTAGAACATCCTGGATGTGCTCCAGGAAGGGCACAACAGAACTTTATGTATTGTATATTATGGCATCTCAGTCGTATCCAAAGTATTTAATTTTCTTTAAATACCTTACTTTAAGTTCTTTACAGTTGTTTTTTTTCTTTTAAACAAGTTTTATTGTTTTTTTCATTTTACAAACAAGTGCTTAAGAAACAACGTGGTGGCAGGGCAAACAATTGTCCACAAAACAGAGTCATACTCATAAAGTTCAGATTAAATCATTTAAAAAACCCCTCTCTTTTTCCTCTAATGACATATTATATTCAAATTGATATATTTCAATACAAGTAAATCAATCCTAACAATCCTCAATAACCTTTCATCCAAATAAATCCACAAATCCAAATCCTGTGTTAAGCTTAGCTATTTCAACTACTATATTCCATATTTCTAATCTAAATACATAATTAACACTTCGGGAGTCTCCCCATTACCTTTTTCCTTAATATATTCATTAAATATTTATTAATATCATTTCTTCTTTTTTCTTATTTTTCTTCCATTACAAAGTGACTATCAGTTCTAATAAAAAAAGATATTAATTCAAATCAGAAATGAAAAAAAAGAATAAGGAAGAAAAAACAAAACAAAAAAGAAAAGAGAAAAAATACCTTTCTATTTCTATTATACTTTATAATCTAACAATCAATCCCTCAATATCTGTATCAAATTTCTTTAACCTCCTCCCAAAATTACTATATCCAAAACATATTAATACATAGACAAACAACTTATTATTAAGTTCAAACCTTTAATTAATTTTTATTCAATCTAACATCTTATTTAACTGTCTTAAGCCATAAATCAATCCATATCTAATAAGCCTTTTAAACCCATTACATGAAGCCTTAAGTCACACTCTTAAATCTTATTCTAGCTTTCCTTTTATGCCAAACAGGTTTCCATAATAATGCCTCTATATCAATGAACAAGTCACATTTTATGCCTTGTAGTATCCTTTGAATCGATCAGAGATGTCCTCTTTTCTGTTTTAGAGACCTAGCTCCTTTATAAGTAATCCCTTGTTGTTTCGAAAATTCAAATCTCCACGTTTGAAACTGTTGAATAGCAGGCTCAATTATCTCCAACTTTGTAGATGATAGTTGTTTATCCAAGCTACCATAGTTCTCAATTTGTTGGGTTTGTCTGTCCATTTCTGTTGGTTTTAGGGTTGTAAGTGGTTTAATTGCAGTCCTTTTTAGTTCCTCAGAGATCTCATCAACATGCATATGAAGTAGAATGGAGTCTTCTTTACCTTTAGTTAATCCCGCTTCTGTTGTTTTTTGATCTATAGAGTGCTCAGATAAAGTCTGGAAGTCGATTTGTAAATTCAAAGCAGAATTTCTGTTTTTTATTTCCAGGGTAAATTTTTTTATTTGCAAACATATTTCATCAAACTTCGTAAAGATTTCCAGTATAGGTTTATAGTCAAGTTGAACCAAGGGTTGCTCCATTTCAAAGATAATTAGAAACAGTCTGTATCATTTAGTAGAGGCTGTGTTCAAGGAACATTCAATCAGTGTTCACCCCCAACAGTACAGCTGTTAATTTTCTTTGTGTTTTTCCTTTTATGGTAATCTAAAAATCAAGGTCAATCTCACCATAAGAAGAAAGAGAAAGTTGTAATTTTAACTTTTTCCACAAGGTGTCCTCAGTACATTGTAAAATCTTCTCCCAGAGACCAGGAATCTCATAAACAAGATCAGGAAACACAGAAAAAAAGAAAATTCAAGTCCAATAGCAGATTCAATATTTAAAATTTTTTCCAAGACCTCAAAGTAAAGAGAAAAAAAAATAAAAATAGAAAAAAAATCACTTTAAATTAATTCAGTCCTTTTAAGCTTCTTTTTCCCACACTCACAAATGCCGCTTTATTAGAGTAGGGAAATCATTTCAAAGGTGCTTTTTACAGGCACAAAAGAAAAGAAAACCAAGAGAGGGAGAAAAAAAGTCTCACCCGACTCAGCCACGGTGGTTCCTGTGCTTAGATGTTCTTCTGACTTCTGGTTACAGCGGCAAGGTGAACGGTCATTTTACTGGCCGTTCTTTCCACCGTCGGCCCAAAGGAGCAATCTCAGGCCATGGAAGAAGCTGCCACTCTCCCACAGATGATGAGGACCTCCTCAGCAGTAGCTGCCCCTCCAAGGCAGCTTTTCGACCCGATTAAGGGTCTAACGGCAGTGGAGAATCACTGGCAAGGAGAGCAGTCTCCTTGCGCAGCTGTGAGCGCCGCGATCCGGAACCGGAAGTCAAGTTCTTTACAGTTATTAACCAGAGCTGAGCATCACACTTAGATAAAGCCTGAATCATAGATATATAGGATAATTTGGGGCAGTAGAGCAGTATAACCTATTTTTTAACCTTGAAGCTTCACTTATCCTGATAGAGCTACATCAATATGGAACCCATAACTGCATTACTATGGTGGGAAGGAGAAGAAAGAAGATTAGATTCAGTGGTGTATTCCAAGTAAGAGTGACTCTTATGATCAGATCACTCTTTATTTTCTTATTCTGAGCACTTTGGGAATTAGTTAAAAGATTTGGGAACAGAGAGCTTTAGTTATTATTATTCATTGTACTAAATGTCTATGGAGATTCTCAGTCATCCATGTCATAATTATCCAAGATGCTTTTTCATGAGGCAACTGGACTTCCTTGTTTTTCTTTGAAGATGCTTCGCTTCTCATCCTAGATGCTTCAGAGCTGAAAGTCATGAAAAAGTATCTTTGGGATTCATTCTACTAATTGTTAGCCTTTCATCTATGACGATTGTATAACAAAGTGAACTGTTTTAACTAGATGATTGGCTTGATGCCTATTTTCTTTTGAGGAAAATATCAGTACATTTTAGACTATTCTCTTCCTTCAACCAGGGCTTCAGGTGCAATCCCATTCTGGAAAGAGTATCATTGTTTCTCATTAACACACTTTTTCCATTTGCACAAAATCTATTTTAGAAACTTCAGTCGAAGTGTCTAAAATTTGGTATGGGTATTTGTCATAATAGGAACTATTTTCATGATAATTTTTTCTTCCTAATTAAAAGAACCTGAAGTTCTTTTAAAACAAAGAAACATTTTAAGAGAATGTAAATTGGGGAAAAAAATCTTAGCACCACTAATTGATTCCATATTAATAGCAAACTCTGAAAGAATGGGCCCATTGAACTTCTGGAACCAAGGTGTCATGTTTTTCTCTTGCTGCCAAGCAAATCTTTTTTGATAGTCGCATGATTAGAGATGACAGGAAAATATAAGATATGTTGGTTTCAATTCATGGAGGTCTTCATAAATATTAATTATTACCTTGAACTGGATTTCTGCCTTTAGGACTACAGTCTGCAGAGAACTTAAGTAAAAATATTTATATTTTCATTGCATTGCTTTTGTGGATATTAATAGGATTTTAAGTAAACATGCTTTTATATATCTCCGCCCCCGTATGATTGGCATAATCACATGCAAAACAAGCTACGTATGCTTCAACCTTTATATTATTGAGATGTTTCTCTATCTAAAAAGATCTCTACCCCACCAATACATTTTTAATGTATAAGGTTCAAAGCAACAGACTTTTTTGTCCTTGTTTTAATGGCATTTTTACCTACTGAGTACAGGACTGCAGGGGGAGGGAGCTACTTGTATACATTCATTGGTATTATTGATGACACATCCAAGCCATGTACGTGGGTTCTTTGTGTGACGGTGGCACTAGTGAATAAGGAACACAAATTGGAGCTAATCAAGACTACATGTAGCACAATAAAATCAAAGAATGTCTAGTCTAGCTTTCACTATATTAAATAACTTCAAGTTTTTCTAAGAATCTTCTAGAATTAATAAATAGGTGCTGTATTTAGATTCCATAGGCACTGATAATACTTAGTGTAGAAGGGTTATTATATTCAGCAGTACAAGCTTTTAAATGAAAGATTGAATTCCAGGCTCACACCATCTCCAAGTCCCTGATTTATTAAGCATGACCTGTCTTAGAGATTTCAAACAGAAAAATGATTGGAGCAATCTTGTTGGATTCTTTGCAATATAACAACTATATTGCACATTCTCAGAAGAATCAAAGATACTATTGTTTGTAGCTGGTAATATACTCAATGTTTTATTGTGAGGAAAAGAGAGAAAATATAAGGCGAGACCTTCTATGAAACTGAGGTTCCCTATTATTAAAAAAAAGACTATAGAGACAACTTAATGTCCCCCAAATGTATTGGACTTTGGCAATATCTAGCAAGCATACCAGTAGCTACAGACAATGTTTGCTAGGGGTTATAGCAGGAGTCCTCAACCTTGGCAACTTTAAGGCTTGTGGACTTCAATTCCCAGAATTCTTCAGCCAGCAAAGCAAAGCTGGCTAAGGAATTCTGGGAGTTGAAGTCCACAAGTCTTAAAATTGCCAAGGTTGAGGACCCCTGGGTTATAGGATATGATATTTATCAGTTGTGGAAACCATCAATAGGAAAGATGAGAAGAACATTTCAAATTTTAAGAAAGTTCACTATTAAATTCCCTTTTAAAGTAAGCAATCAAAGCTTGGCGGCACCACCCATATGATTTTCCATGTGCTGCAGTTTAAAAACAAAACAAGTAGTGATCACATTGGGTGTTTCTTATTTTCTGCAGGCCCTATCAGTGTGGACACTGCTCCCAATCCTTCTCCCAACCTTCAGAGCTCCGGAACCACGTAGTCACTCACTCCAGTGACAGACCTTTCAAGTGTGGCTATTGCGGTCGTGCCTTTGCTGGTGCTACTACACTCAACAATCATATCCGGACACATACAGGGGAGAAACCCTTTAAGTAAGTAATCAAAGACTCAGTTGAGCAGGAAGGGAATTAGAACACTAGGATAAACCAAATTTAGATTTCACCCTTTCAGAGATGTCCTTTTTGAATTCAGTTCTGAATACTAAACAGACACGTGAACCTGGCTGTGCTCCTTCTTTATTTCAGTGGCATTTGTTTAGAAGAAAGAGACATGGACAGGAGTCATTAGCTGAGTCCGTAAGGATTATGATAGTATATCTTCATATTTTTATTTCTACCTCTGCCTCCTTTGACTATCTATATCTCAGCTACATAATCTTGTAATTTCACTAGAAAATGGTGGTTGTTTTTTTTAAAAAAAGTTTTCAGTAACAATCTCTCCAGTAATAGTATCTAAGAATGCCAAAATAAATAAGAGTTTTTCAGGCATATGTCATATATGATACATGGAAGAACATTAAGTGGGGAACAATTAGTGAGCATCAAAGCAATAGTGATTGCATACTTTAAGACAGAAGTATTTTAAATAGGAAAAAAATACACAAGTGTATGATTATATTATTTTATATTGTTGTAATATGTAGCAATTTTAAGTACAAGTAATATTTCAGAGTGTAATTGGGGAGTGGAAAACATGGCTTGTGGATACTGAACTACAAATTATATTAGGTTTGACCTACAGTGATGCTCAACATGATTGATAAAAGTTGTAATTCAACAATATTCATAGACCAATCAATGGAATCTAACTCATTCTGGTTCAAGTGTTCCCCTCATGAACTTTTACTACATTACCTCCCAAAACTAATCAAGACAGAGCAGCTATCAATATGAAAAAAATAAAAGCAGCAGAAAAGGTTTAGTGAGTCTGCCTTCCTCCACTTTATCATCACTAAAGCTGAATTGAATTCCATGTTGAGATTTAGTTGCTTTGCAAGATGTGTTTGAGATGGACATCCTAGGTTTGAGATGCATATGAAAACAAGGTTTGTTGTTGATTGTTTATATTTTAAGTAGTTCAGATAAATCAAATAAGTTTGAAAGAACATATTTTTTAAAAAAATTATCAATAAGCTTGTAATTGATTCTGCTACTAATTATGGGATAACCAGTTAGCGTTCTAGTTAAAGCATCAGGCTAGAAACCAGGAGACCATGAGTTCTAGTTTTGCCTTAGGCACAAATGTGGGCCTTGGGCTTGTCACTTTTTCTCAGCTCTAGGAAAGAGCTGAGTTGAATGCCCAGAGTATGAAGAGAAGGACGCGAGTGCTATGTTTTCCAAAATCCAACTCAATCAGTGTTTGGCTTCGGTCTAGAATGACACAAAAGTGCCGTGTCAACAAATGGTGGCTACTGAACCATTACAAAGAATTAAAACAGCCAATGGAAAGAGAAGCCAAAAACTAGCAGTTCAGATTGATTTTATGTAGTTGCTGTGTAAATAGATTTTAGTAATTAATTGTACAGGCTTCCAGGTCAAAATGGAAAATAGATTTCTTTTAATGTTAAGATGTTACTTATATGTAACCTTGTTGACTCCATTTAATTTCCATCCCTATAACATTCTGTTTTTGTCATGTTTTCAATAAATCTACAATTTGCACCACAAAGAGCCAGTCCTATTTTTTTCCCTTTATATTTTCTTTCTCTTTTCTATTTCCCAAAATATCTGAATTAACCTACACACAGTGGTTTCAGTTCAGTTCCATCCATGAAATAAATGCTTAGGAACCTATTCTATTAGATACATGAGAATCATGTTAATTTTATATGTTTTATTCTTTAACTGATTTTTACATAAAGAATTTACCATTATTTGATATCCTTATTTCAGTTAATATTAAGAGATTTATGTAATGAAAAAGCAATTTGAAATCCAATTTTAATGGATATTGAAATGATAATAGTGTTTTGTGTAAGACCAACATCTTTACTCAACAGATATATTGCATTATAATTTACAGAATAGCATATCTATGTAAGAATTTATAATGTATGAAATAATACATTGGAATAATTTAGTTCAATAGTGTGTTGTTGTACCTTTTCAAAAGTTATATATTTCCAGTGTATGTGTTTATGTGTCTAAGTATAAATATACATACCATTATATATTATATCATAAAACACAAATGAAAATATACATTTGGACAGGAGAAAAAATGATTCAACTACTGGCTATATTACAGGTGTAGAATGGTCACCATGAATATTAGCTGTATGGAGGATTTATTTATTTATTTGATGCATCATGAATAATCCTAAATCTCCCAAGTGTTATTTTATCTTGTTTCAGTAAATACTTATTTTGTACTTAGACTTATGGTCATGCTTTTTAAATTTGGATATTTTATGAATGCCATATGGAAATTACTTGAAGTAACTTTAGTATAGTATTACTAATATAGGAGCAAATTTTACTTCATGATCCAGGAGAATTTGGTCCTCATTTCATAAGTTTTCTGTTTTCACTTGTGCCTTTGATTTATAATATGCTTCAGTAGTGACAAGGTGAGAACCAGTATGATGTAATGGTTAAGGTATGGAAACCTGATGAAACTAGCTGGATAACATTAAACAAATCACTCTCTGCCCTTAGAACAGGTATGTCAAACTCGCAACGCCACGTGACATCGCACGACGTATCACAACCGTGTCCCCATTGCCGGCAATGGGGTGGGCGCAGTTTCGGTGTTATGCATCCGGCTCGTGGGCTGGCAGTTTAACATGCCTGCCTTAGAAGAAGGCAATAGCAAATTTAAAATATCTTGTTAAGAAAGCTGGAGAGATTTGTCCAGGCAATAACTAAAAGTCAGCACTGACTTGGGAGTAGATATATGACAGACAGGAAGACAGACAGTTATACACATACATATGAAATATATATCATATTTGTAGCTTTGTTGATATAGAAAAGAGAAAAAAAATCAAATCTAAGTAGAGATCACTGCAATGTACTATAGAAACTAAGTCTAAAAATGAATTGATTTCAAGGTGCTCATAAGGAAAAACAAATTCATAATTTGTAAGTTTATCAAGCAATGAAAGGTAGTACATTCTGACACACTAATCCAGTAACTAATCAGTTTTCTAATAAACAATCAGCAACACACTAATGTGTCATCAGCATTTCAGGAACTCTGGAGAGAGGAAGATCTGCACATAGACATTAATGAATACACCAGAAATCATTAGGTGATCAATAGTTCTGAGTTATTTTCATTGAGCTGATAAGTCTGATACATTAGACCTGACATTTTACATTTGTCAAGATCACGGTGCAGTTTTTAACAGTAGAACAGGCTGCTAAAATATTCTAAGAGAAACAATCAAAGAAACATAACTTAAAGATCTTGACATGTTAGACTGGAGTAGAGATAAGATGAATGAATTTGTAACCTTCAGGCCATAGGTTTCTCAAGCCATAATTTTCTTTTTTTTTAAATGACACACACTTTATATCATCCTGAAATTATAAATTTATAAATTATAAATAAACAGTTCTTGATATATTCATAATGAACTAATTCATTATATATATATAATGTTTACAATAGAAAGATGCACATAAACAGTGTCTCCTTTTATTTCATTTGGATATTTTTTATGTAAGGATATCTTGGATTATGAGCAGGCTTCTTAAATCATTGTTAATTAATTATTACATATGATTCTATCAACATTATGTTAAAACTGTAGTTTGTAATTCACAAATATCTCCTTTGTCAACTCAATTTAAATTAATGTGCTCAAGAAATTCTTATGCAGGCTTTATTCATTCCAATACAATCTATCTGTGACAGCTTTACTGGCTTGAATCTTATGCTTAATTCCACAGCCAGCATGTAGTTTAACATATCTGGAGAGCATCTAATTGGACTAAGTGATCTAGAACAGATTTCTTGCTAGTTTTTTTTTTTTTTTTTGGGCTGTAAACCTGGGAGTAAAATTGTAAGAGTTTGTTTATCGAGAGGGCATTTGGTAGCAGGATACTTGCTCAGATGAAAGTTATTGAAAAGAATATTTACATCTCATAGATTGCTCAAGTGTTAAACATCCTATGCTGAATATTAAGTCAAGTTATTGAAGGCCAAAGTTTGGAAAATTAATTCTTATCTGAAAGAGATGAAGTTGTTTCTGTTTGAATTATGCACATCCCTTGGATGTTCACACAGAAAGCCTGCATCTTAAATATATTCATTGTCTTGTCATATCATTTAAATCTATGAGGAGAAATGGCAATGGGACACGCAGTGTTGAAATTTGGGGGTTTCTGTCTGATCATTTCAGCAATATACTGATTCCATAATAATATTTTTAAAAGTCTCTTTTTAATCACAATGACACTTTGTATCACACTGGCTAAACAGTAATTTCAGAGAAATACAGAAAGTGATTATTGTTTCCCAGTTTCATGATTGTTCCAATAGGTAAGATTCCTGATTTTAAATTAGCAGGAGGTGAAATTCTATTTGTCATCAATTTCTCTGAGGGATTACAGAGCAGAAAACTGCAGACAAGCTGCTTCTTTGATGGCTCACTCCTAAAAATCTCTTTTTGTTCTTTATCTATTTGAACTGACAGTGATCAGAGCTACAGTAGGACAGGCCTCTCTAGAGAAATCACCTTCCCCTATCTATTGACAGATTCCCTTGTTCTGAATCAGACAGGCCTTGTCCCATCATAGGCATCAAGGCCTTGGAAGTAGCCACCAATTAAACCTCTTGAGCCAGTAAAATCTGAAGCCACTTTTGAGTGTCTGTTCTGATTAGGCATGATAAGACGAAGCCCCCTGCCCCCCAGGAGCAGCTTCCCACTCTCAATTTTCTCTCTTGCCTTTCCCAGGTGCGAGAGGTGCGAGAGGAGCTTCACCCAAGCCACCCAGCTGAGTCGACACCAGAGGATGCCCAATGAGTGCAAGCCAATAACAGAGAGCACAGAATCAATTGAAGTGGATTAACTGATTGACTGGTTGGAATTAAACTGCAAGGAAAGTCATGATTAAATGTCACGGACACTTAAGCAAAACCAAAGATTTCCTCTGAGCAACTTTCAATCAGTCTCAGAAAACCAAGAGCAGTAATAAAATAAGTAAGATGTTAAGAGATATTGATCCTGGCATGGAAGCGAAACCAGGGAAGAGATTATTTATTTATGACTAAGAATGAGACGGATTTCAATGGACAAGAAATCCAAGCCTTGTAGGATTTCCAGCCCCTTCCTCATCATGTATTGCTTTATTTCTAAAAGCTTTTATAATTGCTATTTAATACCAAAGCAACAAATGTCAAGGGCTTTTCTGCCCATAACTATGAACGGCAAATGCACAGGGAGTTGTTTATTGTTGCACCTTTTTCTTCAGCACGACTCAATGGACCCAAATATGTGTTCTTGATAAGGTTCGGTTGGATTGCCATTCTTTTGACTTGACAGTAATTTAAAAGGACTAAATGACAAGAGAGAGAAGGTGATCCAGGACCATCATTGCCCTCTGACTAAGGCACATTTCATTTCCATGGGTTCAAAATTCACATTTTGTGCACTTTTTTTGTATAAATGTTTTCATTAGCCAGTATTGCATTGGCCAAGGAGATCCCAGAAATGTTAAATAAATCTGTAGATATATATGTTGTAAAATATCCATAAGGAAAGCATTTGAAATATGTAGAGTTTTTGAAAACTGTTCTCTTTAATGAATGAGACATATTATTCATAACTGATGAATAATTTCAAGTGAAATAGTGACACTCTCTTATCTAAAGTTATCATGCTTGAAATCATAAACATTAAAAGTGGTATAGCAAGAGGCATTCTTTACTTTAATTACAAAGAAGAAAAATCAATACAATTTGTCCATGTTTAAAATTTTTACGATCATCCACACAAGGCAAAAATAGGTTCATGCTGTATAGCTACGACACAGGATAAATTCGGTTCCAATTTTCTATTATACAACATAGAAAAATACAGGCAGTTTAGATGTCAGTTACTACATGGACACAGAAGTAAAGTCATTCCTGAACCCACACATTTGATATGATTGTAATATCTCCTGACGTACAAAAGGCTTAAGACTTATCTGCCTTTATTCCTCTCTATGTGCATATTCTCAAGTCCTTTCCCCATTTCTTGCAATGGTGAGCATAATCTCTGAGCATAAAATGGTGGAGTAAGGATAAACAGTCAATATGTATATTTACATGAAAGAAAGTCCTACCATATTAAGTGGTTATGTGGGGCAAATGTGCATTAGATCATCAATTTTAATTTTATGTTGAAGCATTTTATATTTTTTAATCTCAATTGACCATGCTGGCGGGACTTTATACTAAATTAAATTCACAGTTATTCCCATCACTTCAGAGTAATATTTATTCCTTGAAGGTCCTTTGGGCCATTTCCAATTTTTAAGTCCTTTAAAATTGAAACACATGAAAATAGTTGTGTTGTGTGAGATAGGTGGCAATATAAATGTGATAATTAATTAATTGTGAAACGTACTACAAATGAATAAGTTGAATGCTGTAGCAAATGTAGCAAAAGACTAATCTAACAATAGGTAAGGTGACCTTCCTACTCTGCTCCCGATTGGCCCTATTTCCTTCTTTTGTTTCTGTGGTTTAGGGGTTAGCCCAATGTTAAAGATTAAATTTGCAATATTGAATTAAAAACTTAGTAACAAAAACAAAACAAAAGATTTATAAGGTACATCTTTGGTATTGATGATATAGTTGCACAGATATTTAATCAAATCAACAAATTAATGAAATCAAATACAAGATGTATTGTTGGTGTGTGGATAAAAAAGTCCTTTATTCTCGTTCTCAGGATGGCCTGTGCTATAAAAGATTATCATCATCATCTGGTTATTGATTCCTTTGTACAAGCCAATTCTACCAATTTTGAAAGTCATCACTGGCATGGTCCCAGACTCAGTTGTATTTATCAGGCATAATCTGTAAATGCCATTTTTGCCTTTAGAACCTTACCTCATTACCTCATGACTGAAACATCACTATATAATTCATAAACCTCTTGAGTTAATGTATTGGCTCATTTAGAAAAGTAACCAGGCACCTCTGCCTCATTAAACATGTAATATTAAAGAGTTGAAATTTGTGTATTTCATACCTTTTTAATCACATTTTTCTATTACAAGAGTAGCAGACAAAATATATAAATATGAATAAACATTATAAAATTGAAACAACAAAGTAACAATAATAAAGGATCTAGAAGAAACTCTTGCTGGCCCGCATATATCTAGGAAATGGTTGTTAGCTTCATTTATCAACTTTAATGGTCTTAAGGATATGGCACTGTTGATACCCAAGAACATCAATGGATTTTCTGTTCTGCAAGGTGAGCTGCAAATTTCCCAGTAGTAGTACTGCATGCTAGGGTATTTAGCAGTGCTTTTTAAACAATGAGAGGCCTGAGGGATTGATCATGAATTTCCTTAATGCACTAGAGAATTTTTGCTTCTTATTTTGTACTTTACTGCCAACTGAATAAGTTTATTCCAAATCAACTGATGTGTTTATTTTGTGGAAATGCATAAAGATTAGAAGTATCAAGACATCTCTCTAAGTGCTTTTTAGAATCTGCAAATTTTTTAGATCAACAAGACTTTTCTGAACTTTAAATACTTGGATTTAGCTAAATTCCATAACCAAAAAATCAGTGTTGAACTTCCCTTTAAAAAGTGTCTATCTTTAACATATTTTAATAAATGTGACTTACGTTTCAACCTGGGAAAGTAAGCGAGTTATACTTGTTTCTCATTTTCAGTGTATTGTTTACTGTCCTCTTTCCAAGTGCAACTTTCAAAATTAGATCCTATTAATCTGTTGCAGAAAAAAAGGCATTAGAGCACTATTTCACAACTTTAACAGCAGCACATATTTATTGGATATAATTTATTGTTCAACCAAATCTGCTCTTTCAGATTAAGAAAATTGCCACCAAAGCTTTATAGGATTGTTATTTTTTTAACACCAGATTTTCCATTGTTTTAATTAATGCAAAGAACAAAGTACCCGAATCAGGGGAATAAAGAAGTTATGGCTTGCAGCATATACATTTTAACAAAACAATTCTATACATTTCAATTCAAAAGTAAGCTTTGTTGAGTTAATTGAAAACTAACTCTACATCAGTGATGGCGAACCTTTTAGAGACTGAGTGCCCAAACTGCAAGAGCTGAGGTGGCGCAGCAGTTAGGGTGCAGTACTGCAGGCCACTTTAGCTGACTGTGTTCAGCAGGTCAGCGGTTCAAATCTCACCGGCTCAAGGTTGACTCAGCCTTCCATCCTTCCGGGGTAGGTAAAATGAGGACCCAGATTGTTGGGGGCAATGTAATATATATATATATATATATATATATATATATATATATATATATATATATATATATATATATATATATATATTGCTTACTGGTGTGCACTGCTTAGAGAGTGCTTGCATTTAAAGCGGTATATAAGTCTCATAAATAAATAAATAAAAACAAAACCAACTTATGCATTGTCAAGTGCTGGGTGGGTGTGGCCCATTGGATGGGTGTGGCCCATTGGATGGGCATGGCCGTGGTGGTAACGGCAGACTGGGTGGGACTAAAAAGTTCAATTACTCAATTCCAACTTTGCAAGATCTTTTTTTTTTCTGCAAGAAGTTGAAACTGACTGATTGAAACTTTTTTTTTTTTTTGCAAACGGCAGCGGAGGCCTAAAGTGAAAATGTTTTCTAAAACCTAGCTGAAGGCCTAGGACTGGGGCAACGGTGCGCGTGCCCACAGAGAGAGCTCTGAGTGCCGCCTCTGGCACCCGTGCCATAGGTTCACCACCACTGCTCTACATGAACACAACAAGGAAGTCACCAAATGTTCAAGCTCCTTTAAGGCTTCACAAGTTGCCAAAGCCCTTTTGAACTTATTCAAATCCTTGTATAAATATAAAAACCTATTTCCTTCCTCAATCAGAAAAAAGATAACCTTTGGATTTAGATTAAGGTAATTATTAGTATGAGAATAATAAAATTCATAATAAAATTCTATACTTTTTATACTTTCATGCCAAATATATACTCTGGTAATAAATGTCATTGTTTCAAAATCATCTAAACCAGGGGTGTCAAACTGCCGGCCCATAGACCGGATGCGTCATCTGGAAGCTGCGCCCACCCCATTGATGGCAATGGCAAAACTGTCCCAATATGTCTCACGATGTCATGTGACATCGTGGGTTTGACATGTCTGATCTAAACCATACTGTACCACAAGAAAACATTTTTTTTTCATCAGATTAAATTTTCAAGGGAGAAATTCAGGTTCACTTCTAGAAGCTGGTTGTAGGGATGAATGACAGCAGCATGATCAACAGCACAGCTTCTGAATAATGTGTCTCCAGGCATGTTTTTGTGCTAAGGCAGTCACCTCTTGCAGGCTTTGAAGGACCCATCTATTTAAAATAAGTCATAATGACTCATACTTAAGAAAAGGAATCCAAAGTGTTTGATAGATAAGAAATTTGATTTCTCTGATTTCTAAGACAACTAACAATTTAAATTTCCAATGGTTTTGCCTCAACAAACACCATCAGATTGTACAGCAGATGCAATTTTCTTCAGTTTTGATTGTATTAAAATCAAAAGGCCATAAATAAGCAACAGATTCCACCATTAACTCATTTTTATGATTAAACTATATGGCTGTAAAATATACTGGTGGTTAACACTTTTTCTAATTCGATGGTACTAATGCAAAGCTGTGCACAATAGCACTATTCTGAAATGTTTTAGGATTTGAAGGAAACCAAATTTACTTTTGAATCCTCCTACTCATTTCCCAGAGTTCTTCAGTCAGCACAGACAATTCCAATGTGGAATTTGGAGTGTGCCAAAGTTGAAAAGACAAGTTTAATTCCAAGCCATATATAAGCCGTGCACTGGGGGGGGGGGAAGTGTCTACAAGAGGGAGAGTGAGAAAAATTAAGATGGTAAAAAGGGATGTGGAATAAAAATAACTCTGATGAAGGAATGGATTAATGGTTAAGGAATGGTTATGGGAGGGGGGAAATGAGAACTCAGTCCTGGAAAATGGAATATATGAGAAAGCAATTCACCATAAACTCACCATGATTTCATTTAGTATAAGAAAGAATAGAGCAAACCTGTGGCAGCTTTTCAGAATTGATGTCAGCCTTTCAAGGTAGGCCAGCTGAGGAAACAGAGACCAGAAGAATCCTAGCAATGCTACTTTGTCAAGGTATAACACCAGAATCTTGTATATGTCTTTCGAGAGTCATTCCTAGCATTACAAACAATAGAATTATTGCAAAAAAAATTACCACAATGCAAAGCATGTGAGTCAATTAATAAAATAAATAAAGAAATATTTCAGTGACTAGGTGAAAGATTATAAATGATACACAAAGCTCTAAAACAAGCTTAAACTCAGGGCAAGTCTGGCACATCACGATGATGTAAAGTCTGTCTGTAATGAGCTCATTCTGTAAATGACACAAATTGTATAATTGTATAATTTGTGTCCTTGGCATTATGATGCCATGGTGATAATATCACTGTGCAAGTGACATGCTCTTTCTATCCCTGTAGATGCAAGTGGACATTAACAATCCAGTGTCCTATAGACATTTTGGATTTCAATCTTCATCAGCCCAAACTCCAAAAGAGCCAGTGGCAGAGTTATTAGTCAAACCCTGTAGAACAGTATTTCTCAGCTTTGGCAACTTGAAGAGGTGTGGACTTCAACTCCCAGAATACCCCAGCCAGCAACCTGGGGAATTCTGGGAATTGAAGTCCATATCTCTTCAAGTTGCCAAAGTTGAGAAACACTGCTGTAGAATATATACCAGATTGCCTGGCTTTAAAACAGTTAAATTATTTAGAAATTGATCAAAAAGAATTTCCCCAGAAATATAGAACAGAAAAAGGAAAGATGTGCAAAAGATAGGGAGTGAAACCAACAAAAAGAGGAATTTTCCCTAAATATGGATCTTATAAAATCATTTTGCTGTTTCATTATTTTTAATATTATAAGCTGTTCAGTCTTAATGGAGTTGGGTAGCCATTAAATCTAATAAAATCATTCATTGATAATATGAATATAGTCACTGAGGTAGTGTATTCTTTGATGGATATTGACAGTGCCTCCACTTTGATAGCCTTTAGTTGTTCTCTTTCAAAAGCATTAAAAGAGACGCTGGTCATTTATAGCCATGTGCCTTTCGTATCTTATCAAAGTACTTGACAGTACATAGTACAGTTACTGAGGAAGTCAGTGTCTATGTTTTTCTTTTCTTTCATTGTAGCAGCTGTGATAACCAATCTTGTAGAAAATGCTCTGTAAGAATCCGTGCAAATTCATGAAAGATTTCAGTATGAAAAAAGCTGGCTATTTTTAACATGAAATGACAGCAGTTGTACTCAATTAAAATGTTTTCTGCAGGTAACAAAAAGTGTACTCTGAGTGATCCATAATGCTTAGCCTAAATGAATGTTTCCGCAATACTAAAATACAGTGACAATGCAGTCTCGAGAAAAGTATTTTTAGAGGGGAAAGAGAAAAACACACATTAGCTTTTACTCTTATATACCTCATGTATTTCTAGATCCTTAGACCCTGAGGAGGGTGGGTTATTTCCCTCCATAATTTGGAAGAATAACTGAGTGTAGGAATTCCACTTGATGAAATAAATGCTAGCGTCACCAGACGATGAGTATTCCCAAAAGCAATAACAGTATTATACCCAATACATTTAGTATATCTACGTTTGCCTTCAGAGGCTTAACACTACTTCATACTGTGCATAGCCAGTGGGTCTTAATAGGAAATAATTTTCTGTAATCTATAGAGACTTCCTGATCTTTCCCTTTATGAGAGCTTGCTCCATTTAGCCTCTGTTTATACTAATTGAAAGACCTCATGTATCTTAATAATGGAATGTATGGGGCTTATTCTTAATAAGCATGTCCTCTGGATAGCAAAGGCTTCCATAGGTATCAAATTGATAAATATAAAATTAAGAGACTGCTATATAATTATCTGCTTCTTAAAATGGTACATTAATAAAATATATTTTTTAAAAAATTGAAATATTTATGCGACATGTTTATGAGGGTTATGCAGTGTCTTGAATTCAAAAATGAAAAGGTTTTTTTGATCATCTGAGGACACATACAGAGCATTTGCCTACAACTCCTTTAATCAAATGCATCTTTTCCTGGAATTGTATGGCAGTCAGCCACATAATCCTGAGAAAAGATGTTGCTGATTTAGAGACCCACAGAGGGATGCTATATGAACACTCGTCACACATTTCTAAGCATATTTCTACCTATAGATAGAGTGCTTCAAGGCCCTATCAATCACAAAGGTTTCTCAAGCCCCATTCATTCTGGTGTTTTGTGCCCTTTTCTGTAGTTTTTATTTACCCTTGCACACACACACATTTATTGGTAAACAATCTTTCCTCAGTTGGGGCTCATTTCATGATTTAGATTGTCATTAAGATAATCAGAATGAAATGAAATATTCATTAAGTGAACAGAATACTAAAATGTGTGCTCTGTTGTAATTCAAATGGCAAAAGGGTACTTCTTTTTCTAAAAAGCAATTAAGTAATATTTCAAATATGTTCATTTTGTAATTGTAAATAATTTAGATATGCACATAGTGGCATTTTGTGTAGAAGCTGTGAGAT